TTTTATCTTTTCGTTAAAAAAAATCGTTGAGATTGAGAATTCTAGTTGTTTTTAACTAACGGTGTGACGACCTCAATGATGCTGAGATATTTGCAAAATCTCCTGACTACAGGTGTCCACGATGGGGAACGAACGCACTATTGTCCTTTCCGGGGAGTAACCCGTTCACCACCACACCATGCTGTTCCTTCGTTTCGCTTGTCTCTTAGCTAGTTCTATCGACCAGTGCCATCACTGACATAATGATTTCGACTACACTCTTAGCTTAACTGAGTTCATTGCCGATTTAGACTCTCCAGATCGATCCAATTGACGGGTGATTGCTGATGGCACTGTTCGATAGAACTAGCAGAGAGACGGAACGTGTTAGCCCCCGGAAAGGGTAATGGCGCGTTCGTTCGCCACCGCAGACACCTGCGGTTCGGACTTTTGTAAACATCTCAGCATCATTGTGGTTGTTTCACACATAATACGCGGCCGTGAAAATTGTATTAGGCAACAAATAAAAAGTGGGCATAACGATGTAGCGGTTTTTCTTGGTAACAATAGCAAAATTTCAATAACATGATATTTTTGATTCAATAACTCCTTTTTATTAGTCGGCTGTTTTTTATGTGGCAGGTTTTAATCACTTAGTTTGAAGCGTTGATGAAAGTAGCGCATCGAAATATGTTAACGCCCCAATTTTTTTTCAGAGCAAAGTAATGACAAAGCAGCTCAACTCGTGTTAGAAGATCATACGATGAAATCATGTATCACTTCCAGTAAGTTTATCACCACTCAGGACTTGTCAGACTTTTCTGTGCATAAGTAAAACGATGAATGACAAAGCATCGGTGTGGACTAAGTGACTCGTGGATACGCTGTGCATTGGACTCCATTTCTAGCATTTCTTATGCAACTAAATCTGGGCGGTATAGTGACATGTGGAGGCTCACCGATGTAGAGGACAATTCTTTGAACTCCCATAATACTCAAAACCAATTTGTTAATCCTAATCGACACAAGGCTTTGTTTTCGCCGAGGCGCGGTGTCGAAGGAGACAGCTCTAATTACTGCGCTACATAAGCGTCATCCTTTAATAAACAGCCTCAAGTAACAATAGTTATAATAATAGCAATAATAAAACTAAAAGTAAATAACAGCTCGACGAGCACTGCGGTATGAGTAGTCTTAGCTGGGCTTCCAGAAAGATAATCGAACTCCCTTTCAGCTTGGAAGACGTTGTTGAATAGATGAGCTCTTTGCTGTAGTTAGCATTCAAATACTCAGCAGTGCAAATTAGTGAAATGGCAAATTATTTAAGGATAGTAGTACTGGCATTAACAATAATAGCAATAATACGAAAAAGTAGTCAATACTATCAGTGTTTAAACCTTGTGTCTTGATCGCTTCAGATAACTCCGCTTTTTCGTTTTCTGGTCGAATGGGAAAGCCTTTGTATTAAAGGTGCTATCTATGAAATAGGAAGATGGTAGAAAAGTAGAGCATTTAAGGCAAAATTTAAAGCTGTGCATTGAAGTCAATGCACGATGTCTACTGTATCCATTCACATATGGGTTGGCGTTATTGAGTACAGTTCTTGACGGCTTTAGGGTCTGATGGAAGGAGTGTTTTAGATCCTAGCAGAGACGGGAAGCATTTCGAAACCAGTTTTACGACGAAGAAATGATATTTATGTTGCAGTTGCTAACACTTATCTTGAAAACTGTCCAACCAAGTAATAAATTCTATTTCCTAATCGGAGCTTCAGCCTTCCGAAGTGTTTTGATGAGATTGTTGTCAGCATAAGAAAAAACATCAATCATGACACTCCAAAGCAAACGGTGAGCAATTAAATATGAGCGCTCTCTAGAGAGTTTCTTCTTCTTATCTCAGCAAAATCATCCACGTTCTCATATTTCATAAAGACAATTGTCTGGAGAATAGGAAATAAAATAGAAAAGGAAAAACCTATCCCATCGAATCAAGAAAGGACTGTCAAATAGGATTTCATAAAGGATTCTTAGCGTTAATCTGGAAAAATCTTTACCGGTATAAGATAATATTGAATATTGGAAAGGATTGCTTAATAAGATTTTTAAAGCTTTCTTTTCAGCTACCTGAAGAATGCAGATTCACGGTATCTCTATAAGTTTATTTTAACCTGCAGTTGTACTTAAAGTCTTTCTTGTATATAATAGGATCCATAGCCATAATAAATTTTCTCTGGGCAAGTGTAACGCAGTGGTTAGAGTGCTCAGTAGTATACTTAGGGTCATTGGTCCAACCTTGCGCTCCAGGCAAACCGAAGTGTAGTTCTCTTCAGGGTCTAGAGAGCAGTGCTAGTCTCGTCTGAAAGGATAAAACCATTATCTGATGGATCCGAAGGCTTCCGAAATTTATTTCGTGGCCTAAATATGCATTCAATCATCCCTTCGGTGCTAAGAATGGAGTTGAACGTATTCAGCATCCCTAAAGGATGAATCAACTTCGAATGCTTTTGGTGCAGTAAATATTGGTGAAAACATTAATGTAGGTTTCTAATAACATCCTTAGAAATGCCATCGAAAAGAGAAAATCTGAGGAATCTGGTGCTGAATGACTCTCGAGATGAGAACAGGAATTGTTGGAAATAAAAATATAAAGTTGAAAAGAAAGAAATTGCATAATTTCAGATAAAATACTAGTGCTGTCGTCGATGTTGGTGACGCTGTTTGTTGGGCTAATCATGTCGCTGTCGTTGATCATCTACAAACAACGCAAATTCATTATAAAAACTGCCTACTTAAAGCATTTATCTCTTTAGTTCATCTCAATTTTAAGATTACTGCTTTTTTCACTTTTCATTCTGTGATTTTTTCATTCACTTGCTTTCATTTACTTAGTTCATTCTTTCATTCCGTCATTTATTCAGAGTGATTAAGTGAACAGTGAGTGGGTGAGTCGATCAGTCGGATAGACAGTCATGCATCTCTACTCATTCGCTTGTTATAACTGATATCTCGTACCGTAGCCATGCTTTATTGCCTCGTGCTGAACAAGTTTATGTCATGTATCGCTAAGTCCTGTAAATCGGCTCTTGAAGCTCAAAAATAACAAAGTATTTACTCTGTCTGCTTCTTTGTAGTTAATTGTGTGCGTTTGTTTTGAGGTACAAGCGCTTCATCCGCCAGCACGGTTATCGACTTCGAACTATTTCACCAAAAACCCATCAAATCGGTTGCTGATAGGAGTTTTCTGAGTTCTAGGCGAATTTTAATCGTAACATTTTAAGCTTCTATTCAATCCAGATAGGAAAACGAAGGCCTATGGTGATTTGAAAAAGTTGCCGTGGCATAGCTAGCTTAGAACCCCTAAGAAAGGAATTCTAAACGTTCAACAAAATACTAGCCTTGTAGAGATTTTATTTATGTTCTTAGATTCTAGGTGAATACGGAGCAACGGAACCTTCAAATATTAAGCAATTAGTTAAAAAGCATTCAACCTACGAACAGGGTTTACAATAATTACCGACAACTGGCAAATGGATAAGAGAATGTTACATGGATGAGTCGGCCACCAGTTAACCATTAGCCAAGCTCGTTGACAGTCCTCCGATTTGCTGACAACGCAAGGTGTGATTCATAAGGTAGATTGGACGGCGTCTCCATACCGGATGTTTGCCTACGAGTTTTTCTTTGGCTGAGAACTAATTCTGGAGAGGGATTCATCTTATTCGCAACTGCAGGAAAGACGGGAAAGGGTTTCCATAACAAGCCATAGCTGAAGGTTGAATTGTGGACAGTGATTAACGGTGCAGAAGTGGAATTATAAGAAAAAGGATATTATTATGTTGTCCTCGGCTCACGATGCTACCATTTCTTCTAGGTTATGAAAACCAAAGCTGATTGCCGGCTTCAACTAGAAAGGGCTAATAACAAAATAATTGTGGACACAAGTGACGGAATACCTGTATACTGTTTATTAATGAGGACTTGTAAGTGGTACGGCTATTTCTATCTCTTCATGGTTCAGACGCATCCTTTCTCACCCATATTTTAGACACATACAGCTCTTCTTATACCTGATTACCCAACCTTCTTGTGAACTCGTGCAGCATACACACTTTAGCAAGCGAGGCAAATTAGGCTAAACGGCTACAAAAAGCAAGCTACTTGCCTTACATGGATGAGAGATCGGTTGGACATCACCGATTTCGTTTCGCATGAGAAATCGGTATCATGATTCGAAAAAGTGGAGACAGTGTGTGCGAAACCACAAGACAGTTAGGGAACAACGTAAACTCGCCCAAAAGTTTTTTTTGCAATTATTTGTACAGAACAGCCTTTCACGAGTCACACCTTTCTTTTAAGGATGCTATCAGTAGAATACAAAAGTAGAAACCTCTTGGAACCACTCTAAAGGCGTGTACCATTTCGATACAAAGTGACCTGGTACGTTGGTAATGTTGATAATCAAGGAATTCCGAAATTTCTTAACAAGGTTACTTAAGTAGTGAAATTTAAAAAGAAACAAACTGAAAGGCTGAGGTGAGGAATATTTGAAATTCTTCAAGAACAGACAGACAAAGCTTTGTTCAGTTAGAAGAAAAAGTGATATCACAGCATAAGAACAATAAAAATTTGTACATGAGATAACATGAGAACATCGCTTATGGAAGATACATGGAATGTGCTTTGAACGCAATGAGGATTGCTAGGAATGGACTTATGGATGAACTTAGGAATGGACTTAGTTCCGATGTCTCACATGCAGTCATGTTTTCATACTCATTCTTGCTTTTACCAACTCAGATAAAACGCCTGTGGCCCAATTTTTCGGATGATATGAACATTTTGCTGCTTTAACGAATGATCTCAGATTTTTGAGATCCACTGTGAGAGGAAACACTCACATGAAATCAAAAAATAGACAATGTTCGCTCCTATAGTGAAATCACATCAAGAACGTATCGAGAAATGACAATTAGCGTTTAAGTGTTGAATATTGGCAATCAGTAATCAATAATGGATCAATAACTATTCGGAGGCACTTCCATTTACATCGGTTTTTTCACTGACGTTCGATTTCACTTGAGGTAAGGAAGCCTGATGAATGAATGGGATTTTGACGTCTTTGTCATCCCCACTTTCGAGACGAGAATTCAATATCGTTTCGACTTTAGAATCTCGTTGTTCACTTATATCCTCTGGTGATGAAATAATAACACTACGTCGTCTACCGTTCGCTTCCGTGATCATCGAATAGTTGCTGTCTGTGATTCGAGTGAACTAAAAACACAATTCCTAATAAGTAATATTTCAGTAATATAAAGGACCAAGCAAAAAAAGTTCGTATCCTTAAGTGGAAATGTTTCATTTCTATCGCATATTTTGTGCACTCAAATGAAATGAACAACTAGTGGATCAATAGCTATGTTTTTCACAGGCACTGAAATCGATCGTCTCCAGACCTTCCTTCTAGACAAATTCTCAATTTGCTGCATATTTTTGTTAAAAATAAAAGCGAATCTTTGCTTATCGTCTAAGCAGATAAAGGGAGCCCATGTCAAATGAGAAAGGTAGATTGGGAAGAGTCCATAAACAGTTCGGCTGCACAATTGGCAAAGGCTAATACAATAGGAGAATTGGAAAGGGAGAAGTTTTGCTACTGGAATATCACTTAGCCCTAAAGTGGTATAAGTTTACTCACTGTTGCTCCCGCATAGAAAACTCAAACTTCTCAGCTGAAAAGATCGTTCTACTGGGAAACAAATTCTTGTCAGTCAGACTACCATGGTTATCGGACTCAAGATGAGGCGTGAAACCACTAGAATATCTCATATAATAATACATAAGTTTGCATCTGAGTGTCGAATTGGGATTCACAGCAGCATAGTTTTTCTGGTGGCTTCAGATTAGTCGGAAAGGAATTCAATCTTTCCATCTTAAAGAACAGATAGGAGTGAACTAATGCCGGTTATTGCTTCCGCGCTTTGAAAGGTCGAAGTATTGAGATTATCTGAGAGAAGGACCTGGATATAGCATGTTAATGCTTCTGTTGGAAGTCAGAAGAAGAGATAACATGCTCAAATAAGAACTCACAAGTGAAACAGAAAATGCGTTGGATTTCACATTTTTTTCATAGAAATATAAAGCCATTTAATATACATAATCGCTAACACTTAAGGAAAAATTATTAGTCGGCATACGATATTTTCTTAAACTTCCAACTTTCAGCATTATAGGACAATATGTGCTCACCGAACCGGAACGGAATTCTTTCTGATGTGGTGACATTTGTCTTCGATCGGCAAGCGTTGCGTAAACTGGACGGTACAGTATCACCTAGAACAAAAATGACAATAATTTATTTAATTGGTAATGATCATGCTGCTCTTTACGGGCTTTCCCCACCGTTTTGTATTAAAGTCATTTTGTTTGGCATCACCTGACTATTGTTCATTTGGTATTCTTAGTTAGTTATACTTGAATGGCCCGTCCTCATTGGTTGTGCGGGCCCCAGCGTAATCTTCATTTTTGGAGATTTGCTGGTTAAGTCATTATGGTTCCCTGGAGTCCCGAGGTCAGCCTGGCCAAAGCTTGCCCCAGGTCTTCATCACGACAGGCAGTCGCAGCCCTTGTGGATCAGAGGGAGATTTACCACCATTGATACTGATACCAAGATGGTGGTGGATCCTCGTATTGGTTTACTCTTAGCTAGACTCCCTAGTGCAAACGCCGGATCCCTTCTCAGCTTGAGAGAGCCTGCCAGAAGATGAGTCCCGCGCCGTACATCGCAGTCCGACACCCAGGAACACCTCCTAGCCACGATGAGGCGGTAAGCCGTTGGAAGGTATTTGCTACTCAACGTTACTAAAATCCATATTGACAGAGTTATTAACTTTTGGTATTATACCTGCTTAAAATTCAAAACCGTTCCAACGGTTTGCCGCCTCATCGTGGCTGAGAGGTGTTCCTGGTTGTCATATTGCGATGTACAGCGGAGGATTCATCCCACCGGCATAGTCTCCCAAACTGGAAAAGTGTCCGGCGTTTCCATCAGGAAGCCTAGCTAGGAGTAAACCAACACCAGGATCCACCACCGTCCTGGCATCAAAGTCGTATGGTAGCAGATCTCCCTCTGATCCACAAGGGCTGCGACTGCCCACAAGGTGGTGAAGACGTGGGCAGACTTTGGCCAGGCTGACTCGAGACTCCTGGGAACCACAATGGCTAAACCAGCAAAATTCCGGAAAGCGGAGATTACGTTGGGACCCGCACAACCAGTGAGGACGGGCCGTTCAAGTATCCAAGAAAAATTCGAAACCACTACTACTCCTAATCATTTTCCCGTTAGTTTACATCTCACACTTGGTGTTCTGTAAGTTACAAGCAATGGAAATCCACATGAAAATTACAGTTATTGATTCGGAACTTATCTAGTATCGATTAGCAATGTGTCGTCAATGGAGCGCACCCATTTAGAAGATTTTATATATCTTTTAACAATTCTCAGGATCGACTTTCTATTAACCTCGGCATTGGATTAAAAATCTGCTCTCTTTTTTTAAAGCAATTGCGAGGTTCGCAATCGCAATCCAAAAATTCTAGAATGAATGGCAGGGAAGAATGCCCTGAGATAACACGTGATCTAGCTCCGTATCTGAGAATTGAATTTTAATGAGGGGTGGTGCATTAGCCAACCATATGCGACTCTGAGCAGCTGTTCTTCCTCGGTGGAAGGCAGGTAAAAAACGGTGGATTCTTCTAGAAGCCGGTGATCGTGTAGTTATTGTTCAGATTTTCATCTTTCTGTTTACGTCGTTAAAGCGTTTGGCCTAGTAAATTGCACATTAGTGTACCATTCCATGGTCTGAAGAAGACGATTTTGCCGAAACGTCAGCAACAGTTGTGTTGTATGTGTGTCTTTGTATGGAAGTAAACTTATGCTGTTTAGCAACTTCGTGATTGCTGGGAAAGAAACCGAAACATATTTAGCAAGGTTTTCCACCATTCCACTTCCTCTGAAACCATTGAAATTCATCGCCACAAAAATATATATGTCCTGTGTGAAACTCTTTGTACTTACACTTATACTTTATACTTACATATACTATACACTCATTATTCACAAATGCTGACATTTCGGTGGATTTCGCCTTTATCAGCTCTGTCTGTGTGCTTGGCTAGATGGAGAGCTGGAAACCCGGCAAAGTACTCCTCCACTCATACACGGCACAGGAACGCAATAGTTATGACTTTGAAGAAGTAGTAAGGATCGTGGAGCAGAAATCAAGAACATCAATGTGCAAAACTCTTGAGCAATTCTTGATGAATTTTAAAAATTCAAGGACTATTCGAAAGGACGGATGCATTACTGGAACACGTGACTTGGCTCCGTACCTAAGGTTAAATTTTTAATCCGAATGAGTTTCTTTAATAAACAGCATGCGGACTGTCTTAATCCTCAAAATACAATAATGGTAAGCGTTTATTTTTGATATTAAACTTAATACATTGACTTTTGACTAAAGTTGTAGAATGTTTGCTGAATGCTGCTGTGTTACCATACATCCTCCTCCAAACACTTGAGAAGGCGAAGTTTTCGGGACATTATCTAATCAAAAGTAGACGTTCATATCGTCTCTGTGAAACAACAAATTGCGTAATTTGCCACTACGGCAAGGACGGTGATTGCATGAGTTCAGGTGCGATATCTGTTATAATTGCGGAGATGAATATATTGCGAAATAGGCAAAACTTTATGTATCCGTATAAAAGAGCACCTAGATGGCAAGCGAAAACGGGGCAAGGCACGCCACTGGGCACGCATAGAATACAAAAGCATGGCGGAGACAATTTTGGTGTAAAAGTCGCTATCATCGCACGGGAGACTAGAACACCAACGCGCAAATTTCTCGAGGCTTTCTGGACGAATTCCAAAAATGCGAAGAGGAATAGCAAAGAATGCCCTGAGATGACGCGTGATCAAGCCCAGTAACACAGAACTGATTTTTGATGTGGGGTGGTGCAGTAATCAACCATATGGGACTCTAAGCTGCTGTTCTTCCTTGGTGGAAAACAGATAGAAACGGTGGGTTTTTCGAGAAACCGGCGTAATTGTAATTGTTGTTCAGATTTTCATCTTTCTGTTAGCGTTGTTGAAGCGTTTGACCTAGTAAATTACACATTAGTGTACCCTTTGAGGCTCTGAAGAAGGCGGTACTGCCGTAACGTCAGCTACCGTTGTGTTGTATGTGTTATATTTGTAAGGAAGTAAAGTAGTGCTGAATAACAACCTCGCCATTGCTGTAAAAACAGAACAGCAGATTTTATATATGTTTCTCTAGAACACTTCTTGCAAAGACTTGACATATTTTTATAAGGCAAATACAACTGATTGTATGTTTCGTAAATCCTTAATGCTCTAACACTTTAAAATAAGGATGTTTTAAACAAAATATGTACTTTAGATATACTAAACATCTACAGAAAGCGGATAGCACAGTGGCAGTGAGGCCCGTCATCATGAGCATGGTGCTGGTTCAACTCTGCTTCGGGTCAACCAAGCCTCTCGTCCTTCCGGGGTCTGGAAATAGGTACCGGACTTGTCTCGAAAAAATTCTGCGCAATCCAGTTGGGAACGCTCCAGCCTGGCTATCTCAGAACTCCAGGAAGAATTGCTCGACCAGCTTTCTATGACATTCAAGATGAAATGGAAGTCCTCAAGCAGCAGCCGAGGCCACACGTAAAAGCTTGGAAGACCTTCGTAGACAATGGATGCGAGGAAAGGAGTCGAATGTGAGAAGTGCTGGGATCCGCACAGTAGTTATGAAGACGGGTCATATAAAAAAGTCATACTACTGCAAACCATTTTTCTTTTAAGCTCGGTGGGGATAACCAATGCACTTTCTTTTATTAATAAACTGAGCGAATTTGTTACCAAACATTTACCTTCCTGTTTAAAAGTTGTCTATTTCCAAACATTATGTATCCTCTTTTGCTTCCATAGCCGAATAAATATTTTATATTAAACGTACATCACACGTGTATTAAATGTATTCCATAAACTTCAATAAAAATGGACATTTTGACAGGTTTAACAAAAAGAGACAGTTATATATTCACCATAGATACCGATCTTTTTCTTTAACATTGGCCTAGCCAAAACCAAGTTATCAGTAAGGTCATGCCGAATGATTAGTGCAGTTGCACTGCCAGTGTTACGATAAGATGTGAAAATGAAGCTTTAAGAAAGAAAAGCGAAGCAGTAGAACGAGCTTCAAAATATCGCAAGTGTTTTTTGTTCGATGATTCGTTGCATTCAAAAAAATAGAAAAAAAACCGACTTCTTCTTCTCGAGTCTCTTCGTCGCCTTCTCCGTCATAGACCTGACCAAGGCGAAACTCAGGTGAAACGTATTTGCCTCCTTCGACATGATTTACACAGTAGTCTTAAGAAAATCGACAGGAATAAATAATAATATTAATAGTAATAGTAATAATAATAATAATAATAATAATGACATTAGTCAGCATCATTATGGTTGTATCCCACATAGTACCCTGTCGTGAAAAGTGCTAAGAGGCAGTAAATAAAAAGTTAACATAATAACAACAATATTCTCTGGGTTTAGAAAGTGGAAAAACGGTTTTCTTGACTTCGATTGGGGAAAAAACCCCGTTGATTAAGCCATAGGGGCATACGAAGAAATGTTCACCGTCATAGTAAGTTGTGCTGTAGAGACTACGACGTTGTAATGTTTAGATTCCAAGAATGCAATGATATTGTCTATACAAATTCGGAAAATGTTCTTCGAATGCCAACTATAACTTAAGTGGGCAGCAAATAAAAAAAGTTAGTATTCTGATTTCAACTACACCCCCAGCTTAAATGGTTCATTGCCGATTTAGGCTCCCCAAATCAATCCCGTTGATAGGTGATTGCTGATGGCAATGATCGATAGAACTGGCTGAGAGACAGGCGGAACGAAGGACCCGCATGCTGCTGTGGTGAACGCGTTAGTCTCCAGAAAGGGTAATAGCTCGTTCGTTCCCCACCGCAGTCACCAGCGGTCCTGAGTTTTGCAAAGATCTCAGCATCATTGTGGTTATAACTTAAGTGATCTTCCGCACCATGTATCCTCTGGCAAGAAACATCTCAACAAAATCACTTTTTATAAAGATATGAAGTTCGCAGGTGTTGTTTTAACAGATGTTTAATATTGGTTTCCAGGAAGCTCCAAATAGGTAGGAAGAGAAATCGGAACAGACATTTGTTGTTAGCCTACTAGACTAAAAAACTTCGATAGAAAGTTATTTTTGCTAGAAAACAAACTTAAAATTGAATAATTTTTTAAGAAATTTCAATTACCGTAGTCTATTAACGGTGTTTGTGGCGCTGTTGGTATCCGATACGGTACGGTAGCAACTGTGAATGGAAACTCAAGGTGAAGACATTCATTGCCTTTATCATCGGAGAGGCAGACCTGCAAGAAAGAAGGGGATTCCTAGATTTTTTAGGAAGACTCCGATAGCTAAAAAGCAGCCAACAATCAATCCTGTTAGTATAAAGGGAAAGATTTAGACAAGAGGTCTAAAGATCTCCTGAAGAGTTTATTTACTTTGGTCACGGGCTTTACTGACACATCAACTGCTTCCAATATTATCAGATTTAATAAACAGCCCGCAAATGCAAATTATTAAAGATTCTAAACAAGATTTATAAAATACGTGCCAAATTTGTATGGATTATTTTTGCACTTAGGTGGTTTTGAACCTGGAAGATATTGGTAGTGCAACATGGTCATGCTTGAAAATGCTTAATACGACAGGAAAATATTTTAATTTGAACTAATTAGTTAATCTAATTAACAAAAAATGAACGCGTATAACTCAGTGGTTAAAAGGTGCCTTACAACGCACACGTGACTGTTGGCTCGATCACAGGTCCCAATCTAAACAATGGTGTAACCTAATGTTGCCAGATTGACGGCATACTTGCCTGCGAGATGAGCAACACTGGCTGGATATACTGATAGGCCACCGAAAGTCAATGTTTAGAGTAAATATGCATTCAGTTACTTCTACTATATTGTCAATGGAATCAGATACATAATACGTCCCTGAGAACTTGATCCGCATTAAACGGCTTGTTCCCTTATTGTTTATTTAAGCAGAACAGGAATACAACGTACTCTAAGGATGTAATAAATCTGAAGAAGCCGGCAGACTCCGATTAACGTCGGAGGTACAACTGGCAAACGTATACAATGCTCCGTTGTCGAGTCGTACTTTCCCTGAGTATTGGGCTGGATTGCTGCCGATCTGAACGATATCGTTAGCCCTTTCATGACCATGCGCATTGGTTTTAATTTGTAGAAGCCGTATGCTTGGACCGCACATCTTAATTTCAATGCACATTTCGAGTGCGCTCCACTGGCACGCCGGCCGACGAGTCCAGCATGCGAAAGTGGTCGCACTCGTGAAAGAGTTAAAGTCGCCATTTCGGCTTTCTCGAGCGCTAGATCTTTTGAGTGAATAACTATTCTGGAGAAATTAATACTAGAGATTGTAACAAATCGTGATTTGTAATTGAAGACTAGAGACGAAATGACTATCCAAATGGAAAAATCATTCTTGAAAGAAACCACCTTATCACCGATGTGAGCGATTTTTCGTCTTTTACGAAACATTCTGCACAAGCAACGCCAGCAAAAACTAAAACACCGTAGGAAATAATGTTGGCTGGAATTTTCAAGCGGTAACTTTGTTTCATTCTGATCTTTTTCCTTTCTATAAAGAGCGGTTACTGCTGTTTGTTGTAATATTTGTCTTTTAGAAGAAAAATGAAGCGTGCCGAAATATTTTGAACACAGGGATAGAAATCCTTAAAATAAACTGAATGGTACCACCATTTGCAGTTATGGCACACAGTGAAGTCGAAAACGTTCGTTTTGTCAAAGTTAATTCTACAGTTTTCATGCGTAAAAAGGGTGATATGGCGAACAAAACTTAAAGTTGAAGCTGACGTCGTGATTCGACTTTAGAGCTTCACCAAATACGGTGGTCGAGTCATCGTCAGAACAGTGAGCCAGGCATTCTTCGCTCTATTCGTATTCTTGGGCTTATTAATTCAGAGACAATCCTGATTGATATGTTCAACCCATAGAGCTGATCTCTAACAAAAACAGATGTATACCGAAAAAAGAATAACCCTCAAAGAACTCACTTATGCTCAAAGACAACGCATGTGAGCGTCTTATTTTCTCCCAGTACGCCTTTGTCAATGAAAAGTTCAACGTGTTGGATCAGCTTGATCAAGATCACCTGTGGAGCCGAATTCCAGTTTTCCACCTGCTAAGCTATTTATTAATTGAAGTAAAATACCAATAAGCACCAATTGCAACTATTTGTAATCGTACTAATGCCATTACGGGCTTAGGTAGCGCAGTGGTTAGAGGAGCTCCGCAATGCGGACATTGTCACTTTCTCGATTTCGTGCCCAGGTTCACGAGGTCTCCATCTCTTCGCGGTAAGCAAACTAATGCTTGTCCAGGAAGATAGGAACTCTGACTTTAAGCTACCAAAAGTAATTACATGAGTCAGATATATATCCAAGCAGCTTTGTCGATGCTTAATGAAGTCAAATGAACGACGGGTTTGACAAACACCAAACGCCAAATCTTTTATCCATTAATTGCTGTCATTATTACTATCATGACGGCTGCTATTTATAGTAGTAATAAATATGGCAAGGATTAGCCATCAAAAGCCCAATGCTTATCAAATCCAGCAGGTGTGTAATGTAGTTGATTCATTCGTAGCATCGTAAAAGTGATTGAATGCATATTTGTCCTATTTAATGTCTGCATCGACCATGTGAACTCACGGTCTTGGCGCTCTAAGGTTTGGTGTCAATTCGCTAACTCTGGACTGATAAAGTAATTACAGCTTGGTTTATCTGGGGAGTAAGGTCGCACTAATGACCTCGCATGTATCACGGAAGACGGGAACACTAACAAAGGCTCTGCACTCGTTTTAATAAATATGGTAATAATATTATCTTTTTATTTACTGCTTATTACAATTTTTCAAGGCAGCTTATTATGTGTGATTCAACCACAATAATGCTGAGATATTTGAAAAATTCCGGACCGAAGGTGTTTACGGGGGGGGGGGGGAAACGAACGCGCTATTACCCTTTCCGATAGAACTAACTGAGAGACATTCCAAACAAAAGACCCGAATGGTGTGTAAACACCTGCAGTCCGGAATTTTGTAAATATCTCAGCATTATTGTGGTTAAGTCACGCAAATATGACAATAGTTACAATGTAACCCTACTAAGTTAACTAGTTGTGGGTTTCCAGTTATATATAAGAAGTCATATGATGAATCAGCTCTGTTCATATGGCACAAGATTATTGCGAAATCGTGTTTTGAATATATGACATAATTAACCACTTGATTCTGTAATCTAAGTTCTTTGATCAAAGTCTTACCAGGTTGAGCTGGGTAGCAAATAAATTTCGGCATTTTTCTTTACAAAAAATGAAGACAGTAAGACGATAAAGAACGTGAATCGAACTAACCTGTGCTCTCATGCGGATGTTTTCTCCGCAGACGTATGCTGTTCGTTCCAATACGGCTCGCAGCGCTAACGCACCTCGTCGGCAGCACCAACAGCATGTCATCTTGCGATCCTGCCCGGATAGAGCGCTCTGTGATATGCACAACGACAGTTCAGTAAAAAAAATTGCCGATTTGAATTGGACATCATGAACTGAAAACTCTATCTTGCAGTAACTGCCACGACCGACTTTCTATTAACCTCGGCATTGATCAAGTGATTTTCTTCGTATTTTTGCTGAGCAAACGCGAGGTGTTTATTCTTTGTTCACGATTAAGCTGACGTTTCGGCGGATTTCGCCTTCTTCAGAGCCTGGAAAGGTCAAGTTGATAGCAACCTTTGTTCACGATTAAGCTGACGTTTCGGCGGATTTCGCCTTCTTCAGAGCCTGGAAAGGTCAAGTTGATAGCAACTCACTCGCCCAGACGCCTCCATAACCAAACAAAGAAACTCCAAACCAAGATTTCAATCACTAACACTAACGGACAGGATAACATGGTTTTAACCCTAATATTTAACCAGTTGTTGAAACACATTCCAGCCCATCTTACGAATACCCAGATGTTTCTGGATCGTCTACGCACTGCGCAGCCCAACAGCGCGTGCGTGATGGAGTCCTTCGACGTTACCGCCCTTTATACAAACGTGTCGAATGACTCCGCAATGCAAGCCATATTCGAACTCCTTACACAACACGAAGGAGAAATAAACATGTATGGCTTCAGGATAGAGCAGTTGATGGCACTCTTAAAAGAATGCTTGAGTTGCTCAATCTTCAGATGGTCTGGAAAGTACTACGCTCAAATAAGAGGGTTGGCAATGGGACAACGACTGGCTCCAAGCCTTGCCATTGCATTTATGTCTAAGGTGGAAGCACCGGTGACTGATCTCGGGCCGCTACTCTACTGTAGGTATGTAGACGACTGCTTTGTCCTTTGCTCAACACAAGAGGAAATGGACAAATGCTTCGAATTGTTAAACGCACAGTCAGAGTATATCAAGTTCACCCGAGAAAAGCCGAAAGAAAAATGGCTTCCATTTTTGAACGTACAAATTCACCTATCAGAAAATGGCTACATTACAAAGTGGTACCGAAAGCCAAGTAGTAAAAATATCTTGGTTAATTACCTCTCCTCTCACCCCTCTCACACGAAAAGGGCGCTTATAAGAAACATGTTTCGAACGGCAACCAACGTGTGTACGGGAAGAGAANGGCACTCTTAAAAGAATGCTTGAGTTGCTCAATCTTCAGATGGTCTGGAAAGTACTACGCTCAAATAAGAGGGTTGGCAATGGGACAACGACTGGCTCCAAGCCTTGCCATTGCATTTATGTCTAAGGTGGAAGCACCGGTGACTGATCTCGGGCCGCTACTCTACTGTAGGTATGTAGACGACTGCTTTGTCCTTTGCTCAACACAAGAGGAAATGGACAAATGCTTCGAATTGTTAAACGCACAGTCAGAGTATATCAAGTTCACCCGAGAAAAGCCGAAAGAAAAATGGCTTCCATTTTTGAACGTACAAATTCACCTATCAGAAAATGGCTACATTACAAAGTGGTACCGAAAGCCAAGTAGTAAAAATATCTTGGTTAATTACCTCTCCTCTCACCCCTCTCACACGAAAGGGCGCTTATAAGAAACATGTTTCGAACAGCAACCAACGTGTGCACGGGAAGAGAGCAGAGAGAGGAGTCCCGGAACTTGGCACGGCAAATAGCCGTTTCTAATGGCTACGAAACTGTAGCTCAGAATAGGTGTAGAAGAAATCGTAGGCCTCCAAACGACAACTCTAGCGATAGAAGGGTCCCGTTTATCCTACCCTTCATCTCAGATGATATTAGTAGAGCTATAAAACGCTGCTTAAGAAGGGCGGGCTTAGAAAATTCGGTGAGCGTAGTTGAAATACCATCGAGTAATCTTAAGCGCCAGCTAGTTCGTAACCGCCTATATGACCGTCTATGTGCAACTCAAAATTGCATAATTTGCCCCAGTGGTAGAGACGGTGATTGCATGAGCTCGGGTATAGTTTATCTGATCTCCTGTAAGACGTGTGGTGACGAATATATTGGCGAAACGGGTAGACCCCTCTGTGTCCGCATGAAAGAACACCTAGCCGGCAAAAATAGACCAAATACCCCGCTAGGCACGCATAGGACCCAGAGACATAACGGGGACGACTTCGAAGTATGTGTCACGATCCTCGCACGCGAATCAAGAACACAGGCGCGAAAAACTCTCGAGGCACTCTGGATTAATTCCAGAAATCCGAAAATGAACCGCAGGGATGAATGCCTCATTATTACCCGTGATATAGGGCAGTATATAAAACTGCTTTTCTGATGTGAGGGGCACATTATACTTCCACGTGATTTCTGTTCGGTTGGTCTCTACGTGACATACTTAGTGGAAACCTCATAGAAAGCGGTGAGTGTGCAAAGCTGTGTTCAAAGTGATTGAAATCTTGGTTTGGAGTTTCTTTGTTTGGTTATGGAGGCGTCTGGACGAGTGAGTTGCTATCAACTTGACCTTTCCAGGCTCTGAAGAAGGCGAAATCCGCCGAAAGGTCAGCTTAATCGTGAACAAAGAATAGTAACACCTCGCGTTTGCTCAACAAAAATACGATGAAAACTCTATAATGAAGCAGAACAGTGAGTGCTTAAAACTTCTTAGACCCGCGATTCTACGGATTATTACCGAAAAGAAACAATAAAGAATCTAGTGGCTTTAAATATCGGCCATTCAGTGGCCATTATTTAGAACAGAGATATTTGGTTTGACAGAAAATTTGTGAAAAACAGAGCACAAACACCCTAACCAATACGTACGAAGCTTAAGATAACGATTCTGATCTCTTATGATAGAGGAATGGCTTTTTTGCACAAATACGTTAAACTGCTCTGCCCGAGGTCTTCCGTTTTCAATAATGTCACAAGGTGTGGATATTTTGTGAGATTTCTCGTTTCTCTATGTGTTTCCATCACAATCTCCTGTTTCTTCAATAACTCTACTTCTGCAAATGTTTTTATAATAATTCTTGTTCATCACTGACTGGTTTATTGGTTCTGCTTACGCCTGCTTAGTACATCTTCATACCACGCATCTTCCTCATATGTAGGTTCTCGAGGCGGTTAGTTGCGAGGCTACGTGACGTGTACCGGGCGGCGGATAGGAGGCTAATCGCGGGTCAAAAGCGACCTTTGCTTTCCAGAGACGCAAGTGGATTCAGGAGATGGACTCCCTGTTTCTGCTGCGCTGATCTGGCACATACTTTTTGTATTTGATAGGCGTATTCATGCATGCATGTGTGGGTGCCTTCTAGTTTATGCGGCTTGTATTCTAAGAGTCAATTCGGCCAATAAGTCTGCAATCAAGTGACAAGGAGGTATATGAGAGGCGGTTAGGGGTCACCTCCAAAAAATAGGCTCCACGTCCACTCTGGGTGAGTCTGCAAGCTCCCCGCGAGAATACCCAGTCCCACGTTCGGAGCCCAGAAAGCTATACGTGAAAATCAAAATGCTACACACAGTAAAAGAAAAGGGCCTCATTCCCCTGACCAGAAAGAGTCCAAGATTTCGCAGGGTTGGGTAGGGCGAGAACGGAGAGGCTGCGAAAATCTCAGGACCAATGAAAGATGCTTGGATTACAAAAGAACTATGGTGGCGATCTGTACCTACAATGCACGTACACTTGCACCCGAATCCTCGATTGAAGACATGCCTGTACAAGCAAGAAGAATAAGGTACAACATCATCAGCCTGGCCGAGACGAGAAGACGCCGCCCATTAAACGCCGTTCTATGACATTAGAGAAGAACTGTTCCTCGGAATATGTGACAGCAGAGGAGACGGTGGCATCAGAGCTCTCGTCAGCACGAGTTTGTCTATGAACATCGATTCATCCGAACAACTAACAACCCGAGTCGGACGTCTACGATTAAAGAGATAGGGATCAATATCGGCTTTTACAATCTTCGTCGTTAACGAGCTGACATCAAGCTATGACAAAGACGAAGTCGAAGCATTCTACATGGACTTGGAAAAGTTCTACAGAGGACTATACATTTTTCAAGGTCATCATTGTCAATTTCAATGCTAGGATTGGAACAAGAAGAACGTCTGAAGAACGTCACATTGAGACCAACGGATTAGAATTGAACGAACAGGGTGAGCGGCTGTCTGAGTTTATCATGGCGACCAAAAACACCTATGGTAAACCGCAATTCCAGAAGCCCAACCGTCAACGCTTGACGTTGGAGCCTCCCCGTTGGAGAGTACTATAACGAAGTAGACCACATCATTAGTAAACCGAAGGTTTTGCCTGACCGATATCGCTGTTATCTCAAAATTCCACATGAGATCAGACCATCGTCTCCTTCGCGCAAGATTCTATTCCTCGCGGAAAGGAGAAAAACGCTCTAAATTCAATAACCGAAGTTTCAGAACCACCATAAACTGGAACTTATTCAATTCATTAGTCGGCTGTTGAGAAGATACCGTTGTCGATAACACCGACGAGGAATACGATCAAGTCGTTAGCACTATGAAAGCTGAGTGTTCGAAAGTCACCAAAAGGCGTCTTTCTCCAGAAACACTCGAGCTGATACGCCAGCGTGGTTGCACGAGTTGCAGCAACCGCGAACTGACATCCGACTTGCAAAACAATGCAGACAGGCGATAAAAGAGGATCTTAAAGAGAGAAGAGCAGCAGTAATGGCCGAAGCTGCAGAGGCTGGGAAAAGCATTCGCAAAGCCCACCGAAGCTTCGATCAATTACATGACCAAAGTGATTACATTCCGGCGCGCAGACAAAACAGCTACAGCGTCCAGAAAGGCAATAGAGAAAACCATTCACGAATAGAACTCGGATCTCTTCGATAGCCACGTGCACCTTCCGTCATATGAAATAAAGGAGGATGGATATGTTGTACCACCGGTTCTCCCTTCAGAAATCCGAATTGCTATATTGCCGGCGAAAAATCGAACAGCACCATGTCCGGAGAGGATAAGACCGGAACATCTGAAGAACCTTTCGCCAGTTTTCCTAAACACACTGGATCGGCTCTTCACAGGTTGCCTGCCTGAATGCAAGGTCCCTACTCAGTGGAACCACCATAAACTGGAACTCATTCAATTCATTAGTCGGTGTGTTATCGATTCATTAGTGTTATTGACAACGGTATCTTCCCAACAGGTTCCAACAGGGACCAGCAATTTCTGTTTTATTGTTCGAGAAGGGTGACCTACACGATACAGGCAACCATCGCTCAATCTGCTTGCTGTCTGTCGTCTACAAACTTTTCACTCTAGTCATTCAAATCAGAATTGACAGAAAACTGGACGAAAGACAGCCATGTGGGCAAGCAGGGTTTCGAAAAGGTTTTAGTACGATGGACTACATTCACACATAAACAAGGCTCATTGAAGTATCGCTAAAGTACAAAAGACCGCTCTGTCTCACCTTCATTTATTTAAACAAGGTCTTTCACTCAACTAAGATAGAGGTAGTCATGGAAGCCCTTGACAGTCAAGGAGTCCTTACTCAGTACATAAGCATTTTTCGTGTGCTCTACAAAAATTTCACAACCAAGATATCACTATTCTACAACGATATTAACACTGACTTCAGAAGAGGGGTTTAGGAAGGAGATACCATCTCGCCTAAATTATTCACCGCTACCCTCCAGAACGTCATGCGAACATTGGAATGGGAAAGTATGGGAGTGAAAATCGATGGTCAACAATTATACCATCTTCGCTTTGCTGATGTCCTTACAACACCAAACATTAGGAAAGCGGAACGTATGCTTGCCGACTTTGACGAAGTCTGTGGAAAAATTGGTCTTCGACTAAATCTCACAAAAACGATGTTGCTGAGAGGCGGATTGGTTTTTTATGCGCCACTCAGGCTCAACGGAACGAATATCTCGGGATGCTCCACTTGTCTATCTAGGTCGGGAAATCAATATGATGAACGACATAGTTCCAGAGCCAAGCAGAAGAAACGAGCGGCTTAGGGAGCTTTCAAGAGATGTAGTGAAGCGGACAAAAAACACTCGACTTCCTGCCCACCTTTTCGACTCAACGGTACTTCCCGCCCTAATGTATGCGTCAAAAACCTGGTTACCGCGTAAGCAGGATGAAACATCATTCAGCGTTATCGAACGCGCAGTGGAAAGGACGATACTAGGAGTATCCCGTTCCACACAAGTAAGGGATGAGATCCGAAGCTGCGACCTGCGTCAACGATCAAAAATCAAAGATGCCATTTTTCACCCTCAAAGTCAAAGATATGATCGGCCAGACACGTATTGCGCATGAATGACAACCGATGGACAAGAGCCGTTAGTAACTGGATTCTTCGGGATGTCAAACGTACTGCAGGAAGACCACTGTCCCGATGGTCAGAGTTCTTCACGAAGAGCCTAGAAGAAAGATATGATGCTCAACGTGTCCTTGAACGAGCAGAACCCACTGGGCTACTCTTGCACGTGACAGGGAGAAATGGAGATTCACTGGCGCCCGCTCGAGTCACTCGACGATCAGCTTGACTGCGGGTGATACAGGTGATACATCTTCTTAAGCAAACGGGTAGACTAATCGGTAGTTTCGCTGCCGTCACAAGAATCTGAATGGAAGAAGCCGAAACGCAATATGGCAAACCTCCGCCTGATCCGAATCGATTGCCTAGTGTCTGTGATGAAGAATGCTGTAACAAGTATGGAACGATGTAACAATTCTATTTCAGGACTATAGGAAAATTCACACTGAGGCAGCCCTCAACATGTCAACAAAGATAGAAAAGCGCGGATGTTCAAGCCACTGCTGAATCAACGGACAAATCCGTCTACCTCTGTGGATGAAGATTAGACGGCAGCCAAACGAATGGAAGAGGTGCTTGGATCTGGACATTATGTGAATATGGTTCATTTAAGTGTCCATGTATCTAGTTTCATTCTTACTGTGAAAAATTTTTACCATTTTGATTAAGCGGTTCTGATATGTTTCACATAAACCAATTCTCTTCTACTAGCCGTTTGAGCTTTGAATCCTGCTATATTAATGAGGACATTCTAATTTTCAATTCAATGTCACCTTCCCGATGCTCTGCTATTCAATCATCCTCAGAAAATTAAAATATCTACGAGCAAACCATGTTTGGCTGGAGCGAAAATTCAACATGATGAATGACTTATCATTTGAACCGAACAAGTGGAAGCTGCACAGCTGGTTGAATTCGCAGAGTTAAAAATAAACCACGGACCAAAGTAGCGGACAAGGCGATAACACTCAACCACGCATTGGTTACTTTTAAGCTGCAGGCTCTGGTAACTTAAGGTAATTTCGAATTCCACAGGATGCCTGGTTCATTACTGGACGCCTCCTAAAAAAGCAGAAATGCGTGGGCGGCGCCGAGAACATTGTGTATGAAGTAGTAGTTTATCCTGTTTGTAAAGAATGATAGAATGAACCCAATGCTCCAACCCACGTCGATTACAAACTAAGATGTCGAAAATCAAGTGCGAGAGATATTAATGTAATTTAACAAACGACATTGGTCATAGTTCTTATTGGAGTCTCAAGTATCATGCAGTACGTTCTTCTCAAAAGTGGGAGGAAAGTTGATGCCAGGTCTCCTACGCGGAATAGAGACGAATGGAGACCTTGTTGGAGGTTATCTTAGTCTTTCACTGTCCAAGCGATAAGGGTCTTATAGAGGAGATAAATGAGCTTACAAATTTAAATAACGCATAATGAAACATGCCTATAATTACGTTTTCTATAGTCTAGTCCTAGTCTTCTATCACTGACTCAAAAAAGCCTCTTTCCTGGCTATGTAGTATGCTGCACTAAGAACAGCACTGCACTGGAATAAATTATAGCTAAACTAAAACTAACCAAATATTTCTCTTCCATACAATCAATGTGTGGCCCGATAATCGTGAAATATTTGACGCCTTGAGGCGACGAAGCGTACGGTATGTCGATGATCACCTACAAGGGTGGAAATAAGAAAAATAGAAAAATTTTACATAATTGAACGAGTTTCAATCTTCGCGCTAGTCGTCAACATGCTTTCTACAACAATAATCACGCTCATATTCGCTCCCATTGATAAAAACGTTTCACTCTTGGACAAAAGAAAAAATTAACAAACTTTGACTGCTACGTTGACACGGAGCTTAGGGATGTTTTTGATTTTAAAATCGACATGTTCTGCTTAAAAAGGATGCGTCCTCGGCGGAACACCGCAACTAGTCATTTCCACTGTCCGTTTTCGTTTTTCTTCGGTGACATTTCGGTACATTCCATTAGACTGCATTCATTAATTGCACGGTCCATCATTGCTACCATTATTACCATTAACAGAATTTAAGTAGGGCTTTTTCCTAACCCAATAGGAAGAAATGTTTGTATGCCAATGTCAGGATGAGACATGATACATTAGAATTTGAGTTGCTATTGAATTGCTGTAACTTTCGTTTACGATATGACAAAGTATTCATTATGTTCCAGAGGTCACTAAGTGATATTCGGATTGCTAATTCGTTAGGACAATTTCTGATTGGACCATAAATTTATACGGAAACTCATCGCTGATTAGCATAACTAAATCTCACAAAAAGCTTTTTAAAATGGAATTTCATGAAGAGCAACCGGAATCCCTGTGATCTTGACGTAATCCATTACACACTAACTCATCAACACAATTTCAAAAAAAAAACCGGGAAACTTTCTATGCAATTTTATAAAAAGCAAATCGTATCTCTATGATTTCACAGTAGGCATGAAGACGGATCAAATAAAATAAAAAAAAATAATAGCCCTAGTTTTGCTTCCTAGTGGCCGTATTGATAAGAAGTAAAGAATAAGGCAAAAAACTTTTTGTTCTCTACGGATATATCAAATAAGTGCTGCCATCCTGCTATACAAGTCTATCACGAATTTACAAACCCCGGCGGGATGGAGGCTAAGTAAGAACGTGGCGAGTGATCAAACCAACGTCTACGTGTGTACTGCATGGCAACTCTGCCCACTGCACTATACGCACTTCTAATTGCCGAATAGACCTGCTCCTTCTGTCAGATAAACCCAATTACTGTATTTTTACTTGTTCTTAAGATGTAGAGATCTTTGAAAAAGTATGGTCTTTTTTGAATATGAATTGATAAATCATTGGCGTATGGGCCTAGTGATAATAATGTTGAAATTTGTACTGATCACTACTAGATTCACGACAATTGCTGTAATTTCAAATTACGAGGTAATCAGAGTAACGATAAGAATAGCAGAATGCTTCTTTTTCTTAGGACAATGATGTTACTTACGAAACAACTTAACGGAAAAGCAACCGACTGCTTCAGTTGGTTTCCTTTGAAATTCCTCGTTAAGAAAAAAGACAGAAAAAAAACTGCCACGACCAGGCGCGAAAAACTCTCGAGGCACTCCGGATTAATTCCAGAAATCCGAAAATGAACCGCAGGGAAGAATGCCTTATTATCACGCGTGATGTAGGGCAGTATATAAAACTGCTTTTCTGATGTGAGGGGCACATTATACTTCCACGTGATTTCTGTGCGGTTGGTCTCTACGTGACATACTTAGTGGAAACCTCATAGGAAGCGGTGAGTGTGCAAAGCTGTGTTCAAAGTGATTGAAATCTTGGTTTGGGGTTTCTTTGTTTGGTTATGGAGGCGTCTGGCCGAGTGGATTGCTATCAACTTGACCTTTCCAGGCTCTGAGGAAGGCGAAATTCGCCGAAACGTCAGCTTAATCGTGAACAAAGAATAATAACACCTCGCGTTTGCTCAACAAAAATACGAAGAAAATCACAGAAAAAAAGAAAAAAGAAAAAAAAGAAAAAAAAATTCAAATTTAAGCTCTGCGATCTCAATCACTTTTTAACGACCTCGTTTGTTCTTCAAACTTCTACCTCTAGTGATTTATTCCTTCGACTACTAGAGCTGGAAATGTAGCCACTGCTTAGCCTTAGATTAAAGTAACGCTGTAAAAGTAATCAAAATATGACGTCACCGCTGACAACACGTCTCCGATTGATTGTCGGCATTCTTAAGAACTCATCACCCCCTACCATTTGTTTTTATAGATCAAAGCTTTGTTAAAAATTTGCCAGACGTTGAAAATCACTAGGAATCATATAATGTAGCATATGTAAAATAAGGAACCTTAATATAGTAGCGAATTGTACCATGACGACTTTCAAAAGAGCACGGCAATGTGCTTTGCGGTAAATCGAAAACAAACGGAAATTGATGCATCCCACGGGCCAGAATCGGAATCACTTCAGAGTCGTCGTTTTTATCTAAAACTTGCCTTTTACTTTTAAATTATATACGGAACGCAGCATGACATTCAAACGTTTCATACAAGGAAAGACAGTCTATGTAGGAGTTTCCTATTTTTTCCTAGGTTGGAGCTTGGTTAAACTTCACTCTAAAAGACAAAATAACAAAAATAAAGAAAAAACAGTTGTATAGCAGCAGGGATGCTGAGATATGAGCAAGACTGGGAACCTCAGCTGAACTTCGAATCCGCGATTACACTTTCCAGGTGCTTACGTGCTATCCGCCACACTGACCATGTCCTTGTTTTATCTTCCACTCAGCCAGTTTTTCACTCTGTCAATGCTACCGACAATAACGCGTTGATGGTAATGAGCTATATGGCTCAATTTAGGCGCAAAATTTCTATGGTCTGTAACCGAAACTCTAAGCAACGCTCCTTCGTCACCCCAATGACCCGACAGGGGAGCGTCATCGGCAGGGAAGACAGAGGCGGGTCTCGTTCCCTTGAAAGAGAAGGTGAACCAACCTTTTCCCCAGATGAGCAGCTTTTCGTCAAGGACGTACTGATCGTCTTTAATTGTTCTCCTCTCTCCAGATTTGACAACTTTTAGCATCGCATGAACTTTACCTCTTAACAGGACACGTATACCTAAATGCGAAAACTTTAAAAATTCAAAGTGTTTTGCTTCGTTTTCCAAAGTCTTTCTTCCTCTAGCTTTTCCCTCTCAGTTAGCTTTCGTTCTACAACGTTTTTATGCTCTCAGAAAGCAACCTCAGGGCAAAATGGCATTCAGAAGTAAACATCGCAGACTGCGATATTTGCTCCTCGTTTTCGCTCGTATTAACTTCTAAGCGAAGCAAAGGGTGTCGATACAAATTTTAATTGGAATGAAATGGGATTGAATTTCCAAAAATTTTCCTATTCAAAAGCCTTCTCTTTTTTTGCAAAATGCTAATTAGATATAATAAGAATGCGTAGAAATTCAAATATATAATAGAAACCAAAAAAAATTTACATCTGTGCACGTGGAAAAGGACAAAGCTCTCGGCGTTGATTAGACCCTAAGGGATAAGTCATGAGAGTGAGGTTCACTAGAGTTCAAGCGTCTTTAGAGATGTCTGAATGAATAGTGGCCTATGAACTGACTGACGTTACTTTACCAATGATCATATTAGGACTTACCCTACCAAAATAGCCAAGAAGACGAAAAAAGTGATTACCAAGTAAAGAGATCCGTTTTATGAGTTTCCTCGCCAAAAGCATGAAAACTCGTCCACAGCCGAGAAAAATCTCGTTTTCGTTGTTGATTAAATGCGTGGTTGTATTGGTCGATGTGACAGATAATTCACATCGGAATCACCACATTAGAAAGCGATTCCATTCCAGTATTGCCTTTTTGTCTTTTTCTCATTTTTATTTCCTCATAGAAGAGAATTCGACAAAAAGCAACTTGATAATGCATAAACCGGTCTCGGTCTTCTTACTGCTCAAAGGAATCATGAAATTGCTCAGGGGCTTTTCTTCTTTTAAAATACAGTAATCGTAGAATTTTTCTCTCCTTTCCATAAATAGTAGCACCATCACTGTCCAACTTAGATATGTAGGAATAAGACTTAAAAAATATGACAAATTTCCTTTCTTCATTGCGCTTCTCCACCTACAAACTGTAAAAGGGAGCCATCTACCGAACTAGTTTTATTAGATGACAAAAATCGTACAGCATTAATTTAAGGACATCAGTTAATCCTGTTGTAGAAAAGAGAAAGTGCAAATGAAGAAAAACCGAAGAAAAACAATTATTGTGGTGATGAGAGTAGATATCCCTTGGCTGAGAATCGATTTCAGAACCCAGCATGTTTTCCCAATATGACGATGGGAAACGGAAAAAAGATATGATTAGTCTCGGAAATGAGCCGCTTCAGCCACCCGCTAGCGTGGGTGTCAAATTCGGGACGTCGGCTAATAGAAAGAGGGAGATTAAGAATGAGTGTGAAAGTGAGGAGAAACAGGTAGAGAAAGAAAGAATCATGGAAGGAGAAGGAAGTGAGAGCAAGGGGCAGAAGGAAAAAGTAAGAGTGGAAAAGAAGTAGGTAAGAAAGGACAAAGAGTGAGAATGAACGGCAGACGGATATCTAAGGATGAAGGAAATGAGGGAGCGAAAGGAATAGGTAGAAAGAGGTAGAGGGGGTGGGAAAAATGTGAATAAAAGAGCAAGAGCATAGAAAGTGTGAAAGGAGAGCATAGATAGCCATAAAACGAGGAGGTGAGATGGAAGAAGAAAGTTGAAACGAGCCAAAGAGAGAGAGAGAGGGAGGGAGTGAGAAAAAGAAAAAGACAGACAGAAAGAAATATTGAAAGCATGAGAGAAGTGAGAAAAAAATTACCTTTAATCTTGATGTTTTCCGTGTTCTCAAGTAGTACATTACCAGTAATTCGTTCACCAGCATAGTAAAGCTCTTTAGCTAATCGAATATCAAAACTCGAGATATAGTCCATTATATGATAGGGTTATCTAGCCCTATGAGGAAATTCAATGAATCTATGAACAATCTGAAATGAAAATTTCAGAGCCGTTTCGTATCCGTCTTTTCTATAAGATCCATATATGGACATAATGGTTTCAAGAGCATTACCGCCACATGTGCATGAAAATTATGGATACGAAACAAAAATGAAAAAGGAGACAGTGGTCAATAGGCCTTCGATATTAGACTGAAAAACTGAAATGTGCAATATAGACGATCGACTATTAGAAAGAAAGAAAGTGATTTCAGCACCAAAATTCTGACACGCAGGGAAAAAGAAGAACCGAGAAAAGCAAATTTGTTTTAAAAAAGGTACAACTCCAAAAAAGCACACTTTATTCGGTAATCCTTCGAGAAATACTACTGTTGAATCAGTCCTTCTCAAAGACTACCGTACCCAACGAGAGTAGCAGGTGCTTTTGCGGAGCGCTACAACTTTTTTTGTCATTGTGGTTTATGAGCATTTTCCACCCGTGTACATTAAGCAAATAAACCCTGCATTCTCCTTCAGCAAGGATACTATAGAAATCCAATTTCATCTACATTTTCCGTTTGAAAACAACACCCTGGAATGTGAACTGTAGTGAAAAATCAACATGGAGATTTTTAAGAAAAAAAACTGATTATAGCAGAAATTTTAAAATATTTGGTAAAAATACAAGAAAAAAGGCCGGCACTTTGATGGATTTTAGAGAAGAAAATCAAAGCGTAGTAAATGAAGGTTAGTAAGGGAGACATAAAAGAATCATTTTTACAATTCCTAGAGAAGTTTCGCTTAATTTCTAGAGGCTGTGAAAAAGATGCTACTAAGTTTTTCTGAGTTCTTGAGGAAGGTGGTATAAGCATAAGTGAAGTGTACGCTTCTCAATGGGAAATGGTACGCTATTAAGTCGTCACGTTTTTGTTTTCTGATGTCAAGAAAAAACTGCCTGAACAAGAAAACTAATCGTTCCTATATGAAGTGGATTCGTGAGTGTTAGAGGTTCTAATCGAAGAACACATTTGAAAACATCGACTGAGGTGGGAAATAGGCCGGATTAGAGAATGTCAATAGTGCGAAAGGAAAGCACGAGGAGTAAGTTATGTCTCGCGTAAAACCCCGCCCTTTAAGAGAAGCTGGTGTCAAGAGAACTGAACTGAACCGAAACACAGCACTCGTCCATTAGAAGTACTTGGAATTGGCAACAGAGCTTAATGAGGTAGAGGTGCTGGACATTAAATAACACCGCGCATTCTTCAGTACTACCTGTGAACTTTAGAAGTGCTTGATAACACCATGATGACGAGCACTAGATTGAACCGTTTGCTTATCGTTAAGAATAAATAGCGCCTTTAGTACTTGATAATGCTTGGGTAATTTGGTGGACAGTAAATGAGAGGTTTAGAACTGCTGCTGACTGCTGTACGTCTTCTGGCAGTCATAGAGTGAGCTTTTGAGTGATAAATAGGAGAAATAGTCGAGCGTTGACCAATTATGCTAGACATTTTCGTTTATTATTAATACTACATGGCCCGACTTTTCACTTACCATACCACTGTGCAGATCCCAACAATTCCTAGATTCACTTCGTTTCCTCACACCCACCATCTACGAAAGTCTTCGAACTTTTTTCATGAGAGCTCGGCTACCGTTCCAGCAACTTCGTGTTCGTCAAGAAAGGGATTGAATGCTGGCCGAGTCCGTTCTTCCTAGAATCCTGAGGTAGCAATACTACCGACGCAAATTAGAAGGAGTTAGCTTGTCGCAGCCATGCCTGATAACAATTTCAGGATTCTAGATGGATGACAGACAGCTTGGTGGGCTCGGGGGCAATTGAACCAGCACCATGTGAAATGTAAAGTTCATTAATATTCAGGAAATCGTCGCTTTAGCCACTCCCTAATCAAATTGCTGTTCATCAGCAACGCAAGTAGGCTCACAAGCGGACTCTCAAAACGTTGCAACCAATGCCATTCATGCCATTTGTGTGGAAATAAATGCCAACACATAAGCATTCTCGATAAATGTCCATCAATCATTTGTATTCATACAACGTTTATCAGCAAACGTTCATTAATTAGATTTTTGCTGAGTTCGATCTCTACATAGTGTGGTCCGTAATCATGTCACAGAATTTGGCAATGTCCTCACTGGAACCAGTTGCGGGTCGACCTTTTTTGGATCGGAGAAAGGTTGCTGTCTTGTTATTCAGGTTTTGCTAAGACGAAAACGTTGTTTGCTGTTGCTGGTTAAGCAATACTAATAATTCTATGGGAAGACGCCGAAACAGCCGAATAAAGCTTTTTGACTAACTTAGTGCTAGTTTAGCAATGCGAGGAACTCTTAAATGTTAATGCCGTGTTTTGAGGAAAGTCGGTTTTAGAGGTAATACTAATACTAAACATGGTTGAGAGAAAGGCGAAACGAAGGAAACTTATCGTGGTGATGAAAGCTTTAACTCGCGAAAAGGGTAATAGCGTGTTCGAACCCCAATACAGACACTAGCTGTGGGAGTTTTGCAAATACCTCAGCATCGTTGTGGTTATGTTTCACCAATGCCTCCTAATATTTTTGCTGACGCTTACCAAAATAAAAGTCCTTAAAAATGTTTTTAGACCTGACCAATCTCCTGTTTTGTTAGAAATTCGATATGGCGAAGCAGTGTGATGGAGTTTGGCGTGGAAACGACGATTTTTCAAGCTCAATTTCCAAAATAGTGGTTTCATTATCAACAAACCGGAATTTCTTCAATCATAATTGGAAGGTGTGACAACCAATAAACAGAAAAAAAATCACAACGTTGCTGAGATATTTGCAAAACTCTGGACCGCAGGTGTCTATGGTGGGAACGAACGCGCTATTATCCTTTCCGGGGAGTAACGCGTTCACCACCACACCATGCGGGTCCTTTGTTTCGCACGTCTCTCAGCTATTTCTATCGATCTTTTTGCCACAGCAATCACCCGTCAGCGGGGAGAAAAAAAATCGCCATCGGCGAAATGGAACCGTAGCACCTACGACGAAAAATGCTCAATTCGCTAGTAAGCTCTTTTTCATCAATCCGAGAAGAAAATCGCAAAAAGAGAGAGGTACCGTAGTATTAGGTAGTGCCGATAAATCTCCCCAAAGGTTTATCACCTTATGGTGGCTGGGAGGTGTTCCTGGGTGTTGCGGTGCAATATAAAGATTCATTTCTCCAGCACAGTCTCCCAAGCTGAGGGGGACCCGGCGTTTATATCAGGGAGCCTAGCTAAGAGTAAACCAATACCAGGATCCACCGACGTCCAGGTATCAAAGTCGCATGGTGGCAAATCTCCGCCTAATCCACCAGGACGGCGACTGCCTGTGATGATGGCGACCTGTGGTGCAATTTAATTAGGCTGATCTCGAGACTCCAAAGAACCACAATGGCTAAACCAGCGAAACTCCGAAAAATGGAAATTTTTCTGGGGTCCGCATAACTAATGAGGACGGGTCATCTAAGTATCAAAGGAAATACAGTTAAATCAGTATATTTTGTCGCAGTCAAAAATTTTTGGCTTATAAGAGCATGGTGAGAATCTACAGAGCTTATGATTTAGATAGACTCTTCTTGATTTTTAAAGTTTAAATCAACCATATCAATATGATTTGGCAGATTCAGTTTTCTTGATCGAAATATTTTCAACGGTGTACCAGCATTTGGACTTTTTCAGCATATTTGGAAGGTGGTGAAGGGCAGCAAAAATGGTAGCGGCAGCAGCATACTTCGAAGAATACGAGGTTCCACAACGGTAAGAAATTTCTGCAAACGGATTCGTCAATACAAGCCGTTGTATCGAATGTTAGCTGTAAGCATCTCACATTGCTGTCGCTGCTTGTGTTGTGGTTGTTCTTGCCATCGTTTTTGCAGTGTAGTCGTTGCCGTTGATGGTGTTACTGTTCTTGTTTGCACTGTTGTTGCGATTGTTGTTGTTGCTTCTGATGTTGCTATAGTTGCGCCTTATTCCAATGCATATACTCACTGAATGCAGTAGTGACTAGTGAGTGAGAAGAAATGGGTGGCGGAGGTGGTGGTGAGGGTGGTTGTGGCCGTATTGCTCTAAAATGAGCACATGGGAAAATGAAAGTGTAGCAGCATATCGATTCTAGCCGAGCTTCGAATGGAATTTATGGGATTGAAATGAGAAGACACCATGAAGAGCAATATGTTCTCATCAGATCTTTTGAAAAATGTTCATCGTAGGTAGAAGTAAATCAATAATAATAAATTAATTAATGGTTCTACTTATTGATTTACTACTTTCTCCACTTGACTTATAAGAAGAAAAATAAGGAAGCAAAAGCGGTACTTATCGACGAGCGGTGAAAAAGCATATGAACATCGGCGATCTTTCCCATGATATCTTCCGAATTATTGTAGATTCGTTCAATGCTGCTACCGATTCAACTAAAAGAACAGCTTTTTTCAGAAGCTTTATGCTTCTTTGAATGGATAGGTTATTTTCTCTACAGCTCCAAAACATCTTGATTACTACGTAGAGTATGGAGTTCGTGATTGAATACGTAGAAGTCGCTTGTAGTAGAACCAGTAGACGCCCCCGCATGTGGAGCAACTCATCTTCGTCAGCAAACCCCTACAATGTTACACTTTTTAGCCATTTGCTTTCTAACCATTAGTTTATTATTTGCTGCTTAGATTGTTATTAGAAACTTATATTTGATTTTATTTTAATCTATTCTGCTTCTTAATTCTCGACACGATCTGACAATAAATCTTGTGTGGATCCTGGCGCTACTTGCATTCGTTTGTCCCATCCATATTTCACCAACGACTTCGGACTTTTCGTCTGGGTTCGGCTACTGCTTGGAGAATTTTTCTGTTCCGAATCGCTATGCATAATAGCCGAGCCGATTCTTTCTGGGATGGAATAAGTGTACTGGTAAAACCCGTTTCAAAACTAATTATACCTATGCGTGCTTTTGAGGCAAAGCTTGTCCAATTATGGGAT